GACGCAAACATTAGGCCCCATGTGGATGGCAGCTGTCAGTGACTGCCCAACCAGGTTAGAATTTATCCCAGAGGACACACAGCTTCTGGGCTCAAGCAATCCTCCCACCTCAGACTCCCGAATAGCTGGGACTATAGGTGTGTGCAGCACCACACCCAGCACACACTTAAATGAATTAAAATATAAAACAGACCACTAGATTTTTAGTATAATAAGAGTACAAAAACTTTATTGATACGATTTCAGATTCCACATTCCAGCTATCTTTGAAGAAACTACCACTCATCAAGTCTCATTATAGTATCAAGGAAGAATATCCGTAATTATCTGAAAAGGCTATTAAAATATTTCTCCCCTTCTAAAATATGTTTAAAATATGTTAAGTCCATGTAAGGCTGGACTTTCTTTATATATGTCAACATTTCACAACAGCTTGCATGCAGAAGCATGTACGAGAACCTAGCTGTCTTCTATTAGAGCAGACATTAAAGAACTTTCCAAAACTATTTTCAGTATTTTTTACTGTGAAAAATATTTTTTCAGAAATCCATGACTTATGTTAACATACAACAGGTTTACTACTTTTAAATGTTTTCATTAATTTTCTCATTTAAGTTTTCTAATTTGAATTTCTAATATGGTAAATATTGATAAAATCCATGTGAACATAAACTTCTCCAGAAAGTCTTCACTTATGTTTAAGAGTGTAAAGTGGTACTGAGAGCAAAAAGATTAAAAACTGCTGTACTGTATCATGCTACGTGCCTTTAATATTTAAAATGACAGTAGAAAAAAAACTTCTCTGTACAGATGCTGCTCCAGAGATTTCAAAGTGATTGCCAAAACGTAAACTTACTAGTGTTTTTGATCAGTATGCTTTCAGGCAGCCTCAACCCTGCGGTCACCTGTACAAAGAAAAAAGATCCCCTAAAATAAAATGCTTGTAAAGGAAATCTGAAATTATGCGCAGGTCCAAAAGCATCCTAATCAAGTGAGGGCGAAAAAAGAGAGAAGAAAGTTCTACCTACCTCAAACAATTTCAAACCAAGGCCTCCACTGATGTGCAGCGAACGAGGATGTCTCGAGAGGTGGCAAAAAAACCTATTTCCTAACTGCTAAAATCAAGGAAGATTTTAATTTTCCCTGTTTTTAATTAGTAGCAAGAATTATCCTTTACATTACAGGGGGAAAAAATTGGGAAATGCCTAGATCCAGCTATTTACCTGTAATGTTCATGACAGAAGTTACAAAATAAGACATCAAATCTAATTAAAAAGCAACTTTTTAATCAGGATAGAGCCTTTTATCTTTAAAGTCGGTATTAAACCTTTGGTAAACCTTATTGGAACTATCATTTGGCTTGAAAGAGAAGGTAAAAGGCTGAAGTCATGGCTCACAAGCAAATGCAGAGTTTTGTCTTCTCTATTCCTATTAGAAGATGGCTATCAAAGAGCAAGCAAGCGGGGATGGTGTGGGTACTCATTTGTTCCACCAGACATGTGAGTCTGTAAACAGAGCTAAGAAGACAAACAAGTTAATTTCTGCAAAGCATATATGAATGCTCTTAGTTTACAAAAGCAAAGGTTTAACTAAAGATCTTGTAAAATACTCAGCACTTTGTTATGTTTATTAGCTTTGCCAGAAGCTGGAAAACTTAAATGCCACCTCAAGAACAAGTTCAATTATACCTATATTTAAAAATCAAACTATAGAAAACCGTAGTCAGCCTTTTGAGTTGACATGGCATCCATAAAAGCCCAGTTTGGGGCTTAGGAATAATATTAAAGACAACATATTTTTCATTTAGGATAACATTAAAACCAAAGTTATCCTCAAGTAAGCCATAAAAGTTTGCTCATTAATCCTATTGAATTTTACACTTAAAAGTAGTTAAAGTGGCAACATGTTTTATATACATTTTACCAAAATTTAAAAAATGTAATATACCCCAAACCATTGAATCATGCAGTTTAAATGGATGAATTACGTGATACGTGAGTATCTCAACACAGCTATGAAAAAAAACAAACAAACAATGCATCTGCCCAGATGCTAGGGCAGTCCCAGCTGCCAGCACTGTCATGGAGGTTTATATATCACAGAGATCAACTAGCTAGTCTCACTAGTAAAGATGCTTCAATAAGCAGGAAGATGTTTGGGGGTCACTGCCAGTAAATTTGATTGCCAACTCGTCAACTTTTCTAATATAGCTTGGGTAAGACAAATCAATAAGAAAACAAAGAAAAAGTCACATACTTGGTTCCTTTAAGCTTATTTAATATTTGAACTCTTATTTTCTATTTTCCCAGACCCCAGAAAACAAAGGTTTTAGATGACCAATATTTTGTTCCAGAAACATACAGCCTTATCAGCTAATTCATAAAAGAGCTATTTTACAAAGGTACATCTGGATAATTAGAACAATAAAGTCTTTTAGGCATTTCAAAATGTGATCAGTAAAAATACATGATTATTAATAAAGTTTTTTAAAGATAGTTCCAGATTTTTCTTTAAAAGCAATTTCTGTTAAAGAGTACATGATTGTATGGTGAACAAGGAAAATAAAATGTTCTAGTAAGAAGAAGCTTATTAAAAGTAACCCACAGTGTGCACATGACAGTTACCAGTTTTGCAGCACATATGCTTAGCAGTTGGCACCTGGGAATGGCAGGGAGGGCTTCCTTCTAGGAGGGACTTTTTTTCCTACCAACTTATTATCTAAACCCCTCAGTAGCAGTGGGGAAGGCATGAGGAACCAGGCAAAAAGAACTCTTTTCTTTAGGAAAGAACACCTTAAGAGATGATGCTAGAAAGGGATAAAAACATCAGAGAAAACATGATTCAGAACACAAAAATTTGTAATTATCAGGGGCAAAAAACTAGCCAGCAGGAAGTTGACTGTGAGGTCCCACTAATTTTGTATTTTGAAGTCCTATACACACAGTTCTCAATGTTGCCCTCTGTGACATACAGGAAAGGAAATACTGACCAAAAGCTCTAGTAGTTCAAAATAACATCATACACCAATTGCAGAGAAGAGCGCTTCCAGTTCAAAATACTGAAGCCTCATTGAAATACACCAAATTTAGCATCAAAGAGGGGAAAAAAAGATCCATATAAAAGACAATTTACAGGAAGTATAATTATTTTCTTTAGCTTCTAAAAATAAGAAAAAGGTGGACTTTTCTCCTCTGCCATCATAGTAGCTCCTCCCTTTCCTCCCCCAAAAGCAAATAAAGAAACTCTTAAAGGGGGAACTCATCCTTTCTAACAGTCATTAGAAATTGTTTTGGGGAAATGAAAGCTAAAAAGCTTATGAAAAATATCTCCCATGCAATATAATAAACAGTTAAAATTTAGGTTCTCAACACCAACATACCTCAACAAGCAGTCCAAGTTAGCTGATTTTAAAGTATGCAAAGTATATGGCTTTGAAGGCAGTAATGACTTTAAATTACAGCACTTTGGGGGCTTGCTGATTTGCCTTGATTAACTCTGTTCTCTGAAAAGGAAGGAGACACTCCAAATGTAATTTCCCATTTAATACCAAAGGAGGCATTAAGCCCAGACGAGAGCTCAGTGTCATAGCAAGTCACTTCAACAGCAAAAACACAGATTTCTTGCTCTAGGAAGGTTGCTTTGTACACTACCCTTATACCCATGGAAGTAGATTTCAACTTCTAGTCACAGAACTTAAAGAAAAGTACTTTGATAGCAATCAGTCTCACTTGTGGACCAAAATAATAATAATAATAACAACAGCAACTAATTTAATCATTCTGAAAGAGACATATAATGTTAAAGTCAAATGGATGTGATTATAATGGCTAAAATGAAATAAAAGTTAAGGGAAGCCACAATGGGAGGAAGAAGGGAAGAAGTTAGGCTGGTAAGAGAAAAGAACACTCAAAATTTTGAAATCTTTTCAGAATTAGACTTCACTCTGGGGCTTTGTTTGAAAATCTAGATATGAATTTATTTGGAAGTACTAGAGCTAAGTTCAAAGTATTTTTCCAATTAACCTTATAAGAGTTCTAAAGAGACATTAAGTGGTAGGAAAAGAAAAGCAAACAATTACTCAGGACAAGATACTCTCTGAGCTAGAAAAGAAACTGAAGCTTTGCTAACCTAGAAGCTTCATAATTGAGTGCTAGAGAATTATGTAATTACCCTGTAGTGTCTAAAGTTAAGGTGAAAGTTTTATTATGTTTACTTTTCTCCTGATTAACTGCCACCTGGTGGCGTTCGAGTCAAGTGGCTATAGGTGTAACCCTTTTGGATAGGCGTGACTACATTATTTCTAGCAGCACAATATAACCATTTGGTTTTTATTTGTTCCTCCTAAGACATATGGAAGTTCCAAGTTTCAAGCTTCATTTATATATCAGTTTCTGCTACTAAAATTTTTAATCTCATTCTGAGTTAAATACTTGGTTTATGACTAAAAATATAATTCTAATTTATAGATGAGGTCCAAAGATCCAAGTTGATCTACCTAAAAAAAAGAGATCAGTTTTGAAAGGACAGAAACAGGAATCTTTACACACATAAATAAGCTTGTTAAGTTGTAGTGGTGTTTGTAAAAGTTGGTGGGAATCCTTACCATTTGGGGTGAGAAAAATCTTTTTTTAAATTGGACTGCAGGAAAGAATCAAACATCCTGGCAACCCACAGAGTTCAGAGGGCACTACATGTGAGCAATGGATGAACTCCTTGTTTATTGACAGAATTTACAGATTTCATTTTAGTTGGCAAAAATACTCCAAAACATATATACCTAATGCACAAAGAAAACCACAGAAAGCCAATATAACTGGAGTTCTCAAGTTACAATTCTGAAATATCCTCTGCAGGGTGCTGCCCATACTACTAATTGTTCTAGAGCAGGCAGTTACCAACACCTTGCCTCCAGTATCCAGTGTATGTTCTGGTCTGCAATTTTTAAGGTCATTCACGGCCCAGTGTGGAAAGAGCTACAGGAGCAAAGTCAGAGGAAGTGCTTCTGGAGATGGTGTGAGCAGTTCTGCCTCCGCCACCACATCTTTCTGCACTCCACCCTTGGCTCCCTTTTTGACTCAAAGCCCTTTGGCACCATCAGTGCAAAAATTAGAGTCAAACCTCCAGGTACTAAAAATTTTACTGGCCTTATAATCAGCAGTACCCGTGGCCAGTGACAGCCATGGTCCGACTCAGCAGTGATTCAGTCAGATAACCTTCCTGAACTCTACTCCCATCCCACCCTTCCTTAGCAACCCCCACCCTACCACCACCGGAAGCATTTCTATTTGTTTGTTTTTACTTCCTGCTCAGTCTGCAGGGGCAGTTTTTCACAAGTGCCGATGTCTAATGTATAATTATAAAAATGAAACAATACCAAGAATAACAAATTTATAGTCAAGAAAATAAAATTTGCTTTCCTCTCCCTCCCAAATCCCAACCCTCAATAGAAAAGACAACGACAGAAGAAAACACACCCATTTTCGAGTGCCTGCTATTTAGTGCACTGAGGTTCCTGTTAGTGGGGGGTTGATCCCATCCCGCTAGAGAGAGGCGGCGCTGGCCTCAAGGTGGGAGGAAGCCCAACTACTCTCGCCCACCACCGGGCAGCACACAGCTCAAGTCCTGCGCTCCAAAGAGCCACAGGGCAGATACCAGAGCCTTGAGGTGACCCTCAGAAAAGCAGCCTACCAGACAGTAGAGGGCATGGAGTAGAGTCTCATGAAGACAGGATGCTCCTCCCTCCCCCTTCCCACTTCCTCCACTCAGTCACCTCTCTACCCCACCTCCTAATACCCCATCCTGACCTCTTTGCTTCAGGAGCAACTGATCCTTGGGTGTACTAAATACAAAGGGCTAAAACTCTCACTACTCAATTAGAACAAAACAAGGCAAAATAAAAATTAAAATGTGCTTTCAAATACGGAATGAAGTCAAATAAATACATCTGATTTTCTCTTTTCCTTATGTCTAAGTACAATTTCATATCCTACACCCAAAGCTCTATACATTTGGTTTTTGTTCTGAATCAAAATGAATTTTCAATAGTGAGGAGAGTAGAGTGAGAGAATGGATATTCCCTCACTGACAGACTAGTGCAGCTGCCACGCTGTGAAGAATTAGTCCCGCTCTGGGCACCTTGGGACATGGCTAACCCCAGGTGGTTCACAGGCAGATCCTCCGTCACACACTCTCTGCATCCACACTGGAGCCAGGATGTGATGAGACAAGGCCGATGCTCAAAATCCAACAACCTGCAGTCACCTCCAGGACACACGGCTCTAACTTTTATCTGAGAAGAAAGATATGTAGAAATCACGTTAAGAAAAAAGGACCATAGCAAAGAATACCCATGAAAATCTGTGGGCATGGTTAAATTTTTGTTTCTGAATCAGAACAGCCCCACTCAAAAGTAAGCACAGATGAGTACAACAAATTGCTGCACTGAACACAGAGCCACCTGCAGTCCAGGGGAGACACTGGCCTCACTGTCAGGGGAGGCAAGTATAACAAGACCTAAGAAGGCCCAATCCTCCATGCTAGGGAGTCACAGTCGCACAAGTAAATCTCATGCTGAATCGCAGATTTACCAGGCTTCCCACTGCTCTGCCTTCTGCTTTCAAAAAAATGAAGAAAGAGAGAAGAGAGAGGATGGCAAGGCAACTGAAAACTGCAGTTAATCTTAGAGAAGGAAGAGTCAGCAAACGAGAGCCTCCACTTGATATATGACATTTAGCAACAAAACAGCTTTTAAAGTCATTAAAGAAATGGAATCTCACGTTTTCACCTTAAAGAACAGTAAATCATTTCATTCAGTGTACTGTTCAAGGCAGGATGATTCTAGAGTCTATAATTACAATTTTTATTTAATTTTTTAATTTTTAATTATTATGGGTACACAATAGTGGTGTTACCTTTATTGAATATGTGTAATGTTTTGATAGAGGCATACAATGTGAATTAATCAAATCAGGGTAAGTGGAGTATCCACCACCTCAGGCCTTTACCATGTCTCTGTGTTAGGAACATTTCCATTCCACTCTTTTCGCTGATGATAGTCACTGTGTTGTGCTATCAAATATTGCTCATTCTATCTATCTCTATATACATTTTTTTTTTTTTTGGAGACAGAGTCTCACTTTGTTGCCCTTGGTAGAGTGCTATGGTGTCACAGTTCACAACCACCTCAAACTCTTGGGCTTACATGTTATTCCCTCAGCCTCCCAAGTAGCTGGGACTACAAAGGGCTAAAACTCACCCACCACAACACCCGCCTATTTTTTTTTTTTTTTCGAGACAGGGTCTTGGTCTTGAAACTGTGAGCTCAGCAATCAGCCCTCCTTGGCCTCCCAGAGTGCTAGGATTACAAGCGTGAGCCACTGAGCCCAGCCCATCGATATTTTTGTGCCCACTAACCAATCTACCTTATCCCTACCTTCTCTACTACCCTTCCCAGCCTCTGGTAACCATCATTCTACTCTATCTCGAAAAGATCAATTGTTTTTAATATTTATCTCCCACATATATAAGTGAGAACACCCAAGATTTGCCTTCCTGTGCTTGGTTTATTTCACTTAACAGAATGTTCTCCAGTGCAATCCACAATTTTCACGTACCTGAGTGCTTATCTGTGAGGGCTGATCCAGCCAGCCTTTGGCAAAGAATGGTATAACTTTCCTCCACCTTCTGTAAAATAAAACCCATAGGTTTTTTATTTGAATGTCATGAAAAAGACAACTTTTAAAAACAGAAGAGAAGGCATATTTACTTATTTATTCATTTTTCAGAGACAAAGTCTCACTCTCTTGCCCAGGCTAGATGACACTGAAGTGATCATAGCTTAGTGCAACCTCAAACTCCTGGGCTCAAGCAATCCTCCCACCTTAGCCTCCTGAGTAGCTGGGACTAAAAGAGTATGCCACCACACCCAGCTAATTTTTAAAATTTTTTTGTAGAGATAAGGTCTTGCTTTGTTGTCCAGACTGGTATTGAACTCCTGACCTCTCAAAAGTGCTGGGATTACAGGCATGAGCCATCACACCTAGCCAAGGCTTTTTAATATTGCTCCCAAATTTCAACATAAACATCATTAAAATTTTTGTTAATGAGAAGAAAAAAGTAAACTTTATTTCTTTTACTCATTTCTCCTTTGAATAATGTAGAACTTTCCCATGTAAAAAGAATGAAAAGGAGGTAGCCTGTAAAGGAAATTCTTCCATCCCTAGACATCACCATGAAAACAGCTGCACATTATGTGGCACGAAATCCAGGCATGTTGCACATCAAGATTACATATATGACAGTGGTCCCGTAAGATTATAATGCTGCATATATAGAAAACTGATACATAGCACTTGATACTGGCATTGTAGAGTAATGGTGCTGAGACATATGGTTTTCCATATTTAAAAAGTGTATATATGAATAAAAATATATATTCCATCTAGACTTGTGTAAGTACCGTCTATGATGTTTACACAATGACAAAAATGCTAATGGTTTCCCCATTGTTAAGTGACATGTGACTGTTTATAAGAATTGACTGGCACACAATCACCTTTTAGACATCTCATCAGCCACAGAATGATACTAAATATTGTCATAAGAAGAGGGGAAAATCTAGCACATGAAGTTAAAAGAGAAAACTAAGGGAGACTACTCTTTATCTTGAAAAGCTAAATGATGCCATTGAAAAAAAACTGTTTTGAGATCTAACAGCTATGTCTATTGATGGGAAACCTTAAGAGAGGGTCCTTCTCTCAGATATTGCCACACAAATCAGTTTTGAAATAGTGACATCTTCAATTACGAATATACAGACATCCCATTCATGACCAGGTTTTTAGATTACAGGAGCCACTGAAGCCAATTTCTATTTCTCATAGCAGCTGGGAAACTACCAATGTCACCAAATGAGTCACAGATAATTAATAGGTTATACAGCAAGTTACAGCAATTCCACACCTACATTCATAATTATAAACCCCATCTACCTCACACCTTATTGTTCATAGCATCTGATGAAGTCCAGCCAACTACCTCAAGCATTTTTAGGTTCTTAAACTTAGAAATCCACACAAACGCAGAGTTTCTAGAGTTACAACTTTCTGTACTCTAGTGATCTGTCACAAGATAAACAAAGCCAATCTCAATTTTTTACCCAAGCTTATTTATAGATAATGGTTAAAGAACACAGACAAATCTAAAATCTAAATAACTTTGCTGACATCAGCATTTCAATCATTCCATACTTCCCCTCTGCAAAATGTGTTTCTTATAATCAAGTTCCAAGGATGCTGAAGTATGAGGTACCTTTAAGTGTTCAAGGTCAGCCTCTATCTTATGAATGTACTCCATGATCTGGCTTTGTGAATCTACACAAGAGGAGGGACTCTGGATCTCAAAACAGGAATCCTCCATAGCTCCCCAGCGCTGCTGGACTAGGAATTCTGGGGTGAATGGTGAGACTGCCCCATCAGAATGAGCATTTGGGGGAGAATGTGGCTGCTGGTGGATGGAGTCCGTAGAGGAGAGGCCTGTCATGGGTTGCAGGGTCAGTGAGGAAGCAACCTCTTCATCTGTGGAACTCTCCTGCACTGTGTCATAGCCATCAAGGATCAAATAGTTTCCTATTGATAGAGACAGAACAGTTTGATAAGATTAGTAGTGTCATCAGACAATAAGAAAATAGAGATGGTATAGTATGCTGACAACTTGAAAAGCTAAGGAGAGGAGAAAGTCTTATTTCTCAAGTTTTGTTTTAAGTATGTAAGAATTTTCTCACTTCAGATTAAAGCTAAACTCAGCAAACTTGCCTAGTATTTATGAATAACTTAGTAGTAACATTTTAAAAGTTGAAAGCTGGGACTGAGCACAGCGGCTCACACCTGCAATCCTAGCACTCTGGGAGGTCGAGGCAGGTGGATCACCTGAGCTCACAGGTTCAAGACCAGCCTGAACCAGAGGTCTCTAAAAATAGCCAGGCAGTGTAGCAGGTGCCTGTAGTCCCAGCTGCTTGGGAAGCTGAGGCAAGAGAATTGCTAAAGCCCAAGAGTCTGAGGTTGCTGTGAGCTATGATGCCACAGCACTCTACCGAGGGCAATAAGACTCTATCTCAGAAAAAAAAAACAAAGTTTAAAGCTGGAAACTACAAAGTCCCTATTTGATCTTGCTACCACTTCCCCTGCCAAAAACCTCTCTTGCCTCATCTCCTGCCTGGGTTGCGTAACTCCAAAAGCTTGCTCTGATGGCACAGCCCCTGCTTCCCTCTGCTGTCTGCTGGAATGCTCTGCTCCTACGTATCAACATGGCTTTCTCCCTTACTTCACTCAGCTCTCTGCTCAAATGCTACCTCATCAGAGTCCTCTTCCCTGGTCACCATGCCTGTCCTCACTACCTTCCGCCCCATTAGTCTGACTCACTTTGCTTCCTAGTACTTTTTTCTGACTTCTATTTGTTTGTTTACTTATTTACCACTCCTCTTTCCCCTACCAGTAATTAGGCTCCATTAAGGATAGGGGATTTTTCTGTTTTATTCACTGCTATCTCTCTCATCACCTACATGAAATGTGGCATAGAATTATTTACTGAATAAAGGAATAAATAAAATATCACACACACACACATTCTCTTAGATACCAAAACAACATCCATTTCAGCATACAGAACAGTTAACAAGGATTAAAATCAAAATTTAAATGTAAAAAAAACTTGCCTGAGATGCGTAAATTAACATCCTTCTCTTCCTTTTTAACTCCTCCATCACCTTCTGATGGATTATCATCACTATGTGCTTCACGGGCATCAAAAAAGTGCTCTCCACTCTCATCAAGACCCCCTTCTGGTTCTGTGGTAGGCATCTCTGGGGTCATAATCATGTGGTCCATTACTAAAATGTTACTTGCCTGGCTATCTTGGGATGCCAGTACCACTGAATCCCGTGGAGCAGAAGATTCAGTTGAAGTCCGTGGACTATCACAAGTTGCAATGTCACCAGTTCCAGTTCTAAAAGGCATCTGTTCTTCACCAGGATGATAGACCTTAGCATTTTCAGAGGTCTGGAGTCCACTGTCTGCCTGTACCCCCTGAGAGGCTGTCCTATAACTTGGGAAATGTTGCCAATCTTCCTGAGTGCTCTTCTCAGTCAAACCTAGCTGTTGAATCAGCAACTGCTTCAACAAACCCACTAAAAGATTTCAAAAGAAGGAAAAAAGGGGAAAGAAATAAAGCACATTCACTAACCTTAGATTGCCAGATTTAAATTAGTTAGCTAAATTACCAATAATCTCTAAATGTAAGGGCCTTGGAATAACATATAGCCAAAAGATTTATTTCACACAATCATTTGGGTTTTTGAAAAATGAAATAAAGCACTATTTTCTAGAGCAGTGGTCTCCAACCTTTTTGGTACTGGGGACTATTTTCACAGAAGACAATTTTTCCATTGGTATGAGGGGGTTGGTAGAGCTTGGACGGTGATATGAGCCACAGGGAGTAGTGGGCAGCTGTAAATACAGATGAAGCTGCTTCACTGGATGGCCTGCCACTCAACTCTTGCTGCACCACCCAGTTCCTAAGTTTCATGGAAGATAATTTTTCTACTGGGGTGGGAGTCGGGGCAGGTGGAGTTCTGCAGCCCCGCCAGTCCTAACGGCCCAGAGATTGAAGACCACAGCTCTAGGGAAGAAGTAATATTAAACTACACTAGAAAAGATCTAAATATTCTGATTAGGAAGATATTCCTTTTTTGAATACCTATAAAATTAATATCTTGCCTTTATTTTTTCTTCTACATAACAGAAACAATACCCCAAAGGTACTTTTTAAGAATGTTGAGAAAGCCTGTGTTAAGTTTGACCAAAAAAAAAACCACCTGCTTTTTCTAGTAGGTATTATATATACATAGGTATTATTTTTTCTAATTTCATTGAATGTACAGAACATTTATTTTATTATTTACAATAACATAAAGAATCTCCCTAAATGGTGAATAAGAAAATAAAACTGCCTTGGAATAAAACTTCAGCGATTTAGTAATATGTATAATTTCCAGGAATAAGGAAATATTCACCAGTTTTTTAAAAATTACTATAGTAATGGTATAGCTTCTTTGGGTTGTTGAAAATAAGAACCAATTTAATTTTGAATGTACAAACTATATGCTATGAGGTCACTCACACAATGACAGATTCAGAAGTCTTTGAGATGTTACTTCAAGAGAATCTAGACTAAATTAGGTTTTAAATAACCTGTCCCTTCTTTCATTGCTGGCTTACTGTCTGTCCTGTTTCCTTAGGCGATCAGTGTCCACATAAGTCTGAGTCTCTGACGCTCTGTGCTCCTGCTCCACATTCATTCCCTGAGTAGGAATTATCATGGCTTTTCTCCTTAACCACTTCCTAAACTTCCAGCCCTAAAACATCAACTTCCTGCTAGTCATTGCCTTTTTAATGGCTTATCATTCACTACCTTAATCTTCACATGTCTTAAAACTGAACCCATAATCCCTGCCAAATAAAAAAAAAAAGGACAAAATAAAATATGACAGAGATGGGGGGAGAAGGTGGTGGCCCTTTTCTGACTCCCATCTGTGACAAGAATATTAAAATTATCTCTAAATATAGCACAGACTCCATAGTTGACCACCTCCTTATATTGATCTAGTTTTCAGACTGGACATATGCCACATATACTCAATGAAAGGAAACTCCTTCTGTTCACCACCTTGGATGTTGACCAGCTTGTTACAACCCTTTGGGTAATCAACTTACAGAGGTTCTACTGCATTCCCTTTCCTTTGTCCTCATATTCAAACAGGTCAATTGTCTTAAGCATTTGTTGATTCTTCACTTTATTTTTATTCCTTGTGATACCCGTCTGGTCAAATCCTTTTAGCCTCAAGCCAAGATGACTAGAATAGTTTATTTAGTAAGTGCACTACTCCAGATCTCTCTGTACAAATCCTTTCACAGTTCTCAGTGAGATAAATCTTAATTAGCCTGGTTTAAAATGGTTCCCTACAAATAAAACAATTGTTTTCAGCCTTTTCCCCACTTCAGTACATCTGGGAAATGTGCTCTCATCCCATGTGTAAGAGTGATTTTTCAACCAGGCCGGGGTTGGGGTGGGAGGCAGCTGTCAGTGTGTCAAGCACGTTGGTGCGCACACACACACGCACACGTGGAGAGCATAGGCCACTGTGGAGAACACTACATTCTCCGTAAGAAGGCTAGAGAAATATGCGTAGTTTGGAAAAGCCCTCAAAACACTAAGATATGCCATCCTCAAAGTCCAAAGGACCCGATCTGGTATGCACAATTGGAGACAGCAAGGCTCCACTCAGCACATGCTCTGCCTTTCCAACCTCATCTCTCACACTCCTCTAACTTACACCTAAACAGGCCAACTGATCCACTCAGTGCTCTTTGAACACCCTCAGAGTTTTCTGCCTCTGTGTTTTTGGTCCTACCATTATTATTATCTGAATGGCTTCCATGCTTCTACAAAGCTATCTGAATCTTACCTTTCCTCAAGGTAATCATCCCAACCCTCTTGTTCTTCGATGCCTGCCTCCCTTCTCTGGTCACCGCAACTCAAATCAATGTTGACATACCTGCATTGTGACTATCTGCATGTTAATGTAAAAAGGTTGGTGAGGGTGGGGGCAGGGGTTTCTACCATTACCCCAACTAGACTACTGATTTATTTTCTCATTTTTATTAAATCTAAACCCCCAACTATACTCAAAACAGACTGTAAATTTCTTAAAGGGAAAAGTCATAGCTTATATATTATACAACTCTAGTATTTCACAAGTATCTATACTAAGTTAGGAATAAAACTTACAATTCCTTAATGCATCCAACGCCCACCGTTCTTCTGAAACAGACAAGTGTGGATCTGGGATTGCAATCTGATAATTTATTCCAACTTCCTTCAGTGTTCCATCTGCATGCTGCTCCTTTGCAAACTGTCTCTCAGCCACAAAGAGATCGCCTACCTCTGATTTCCCAGAGGTATTCAGTGAATGAGACGGAGGTTTTGATATTAAGTGAGATTCTAATCCCAAATCTCTGTCTGTTCAATGGAAAAAGTAGAGTCTATCTTAACAAAACTGTTAACTTTTAACATAATTGGGGGGGACCCACATAAACTACAGAGATCATCAGTTAAGCAAAACATATAGCACTTAGAAGAGAGTTACACTGACACACAGAAGGCTTACAGGTAAAGTCTGTAATACTGAGTAGCAGGTTTAGCAGGACCTGCATAAATTATTATTAAAGTCTAAACCAGTATTAATTTTTCTTTGCATTTTAACTGATAACAGAGCATATTCTTCCAGTTAAACTTATCAGGTAAGTTTACCTGGACTCTGCAGACCAGGGACTGAAATGCCATGATGTTCTACTTTCAATTTTGAAGGTTCTTCTTCATCATTGTCTGCTCTGTGGAAGAAAGAAAACTGTCAGTTTCATGAGGTACCAAACATCACTGCAACAAAATCAAAAAATTATCCCATTTTTTCTCACCCAAAACACAAAGTAAGTCCTACTCGACTGCAAGGGAATACTCACTCTCCAGGTGGTGACTGTGGTAATGGAATGGGCTTTGTGGACTGCTCCTTCACTGATGCAGCCATTCGACAGATTAGGTCCTGCCAGCTTCAAGAAATTTGAAAGCAATTCAGAATGAAAAAAGGAAAGGAAAAAAGAAATGCCCTTTAAATATAGTCAGAAAGCAAAAATGAAAACAAAGCACACAAACAAACCAACCAAAAATCAAATCAATGAAACAAACAAACAAAAAGAAAAAAACACTCCACTGTGCCAAAGAGTATGTTTATTTTGGCAAACACTATTAGGGGGAGATTCCAAAACTATACCTCATAGAAAAACGTAACAACATTATGAATGTATTACCCATTAAAAAACTTCATCTGGCATTTCTGAGGATGTTGTTCTTTAGAAAATATACTTTCAATAGAATAAAAGCAAAATTAAAGGCATTAATCTAAAACGGAACAAGTTCTTAAGAAGAATATCTCTAAGATAACATAAAGGAAGTGTTTGGTTTCTATATAATTTTTGGTTTTCAGGGTCCTATTATAAAAAGTAAAATTAAATTTACAGAATACTATACTTGAGACAATAAAATATTAGTTAGGGCAAGGCAGCTAATACATACACAGTCTTTTCAGAAACTGTCTGTGCCACCAGTTCATAAATTTGGGCTCCATTGTCTGACATGGAAATGACGAATAAAGCTTTGTTATCTGGAAAAAACAAGACAAAAATTACCACTACAATCTAAAGAGGCCAAATGGGATGTTTCTAGTGTCTTGGGAATATTCTGCCATCTTAATCTAGATAAAACATTATGTATGTTTACTTAGTAAAAATTCACCAAGGTATACACTTAAAATTTGTGCAACTCAAGGTATGTGATGCTGTCTATACTTCCATAAAACAAAAACTATAAAAATTAGCACTGATTTCACAGTAATTTATTAGAAACAAAAGATGTATAAAATCTAAATTACTAACTAAACTGAATGCTACTGCTCTTTGCATTTATTTTAAAGTGCCCTGTTGCTAAGTTGTTAGCTAATAATGTTCAGTAAATGTTGGAGAAAAGAGGTCACAAACTTATTTCATCACCACTGAAGTAAAAAGTTTTAAAAGAGATCATTGTTAGTACAGTTAAAATATAACCTGCCAACTTAAATTGATTTTTTAAAAACACTCCTTCTTCAGTTTTCACTTTCTTTTTTTTCAGTTTTCACTTTTTTTCACCAAATAAAAAAAATACTACCCTAAAAGGAACACTTTCCATTGGGATTACCTCAGTACACTTTCTTGGTTTTTTGTTGTTGTTGTTTTGTTTTGAGACAGAGTCTCACTATGTTGCTCTCGGTAGAGTGCCATGGTGTCACTGTTCATAGTAACCTCTAAATCTTGGGCTTAAGCAATTCTCTTGCTTCAGCCTCCCAAGTAGCTGGGACTACAGGTACCTGCCACAACACCCAGCTATTTTTTTTTGTTATTGTTGTTATCATTGTTTTTAGCAGGCCTGGGCTGGGTTCAAACTGGCTGGCACCCTAACCACCGAACTATGGGCACCAATCCACTGCATTTCCTTTGTTGGTACTAAGTATCTATCAACAATGTTAACATAGAATAAAGACCAAAGTAATTACATAAAAATTTCTGAATGCAGAATATCAGAGAATTTAGACATTCTAAATGATTTGGGGGTATAAACCCTTAATTTACCTTCTAAGCAGTAAATAAATTTAGTTTAATCTGCCTAAGACTATAAAAGTAACAAAATTCTATGCCACTTGTGTTATTTAAACAGCACTGAGTATTTTATGCATCTTTGCTGTAAGTCTGGAGATTAGTATCCTTCAGTAGACATACTTGCCTGTTGCTACTTGTCGAACCAACACTGTACTCAACTTAATGACCGGGCTGAAAGTGTGCTTGCTGTCAGCTGTAGATGCCAGAATCTTACTATGACACCTTAATACCAGTCTATCATCCTGCTTCTGTAATAATACAAGAATGTCTTCCAGGAGCAACGTGTACAGATCTAGAAATAAAAATACAGGAAAGATAAGTACAAAAATTGCAATGTGCTTAGTAAACTTTAATTGAGATATGTTTAATAACCTTTATAACAAATCAACAGAGAAGTTAAATCTAAATTTAAACATTGGGATTTGTTATTATCTTTTTAAACTTCAATTTTTAATAATTTATTTTTGTTGTATTTCAACAGAGTGGCAGTCTATGACAGACAGGAAATGAAAAACAACAGTTCCTTACCACAGACAGTTTGAGAAGTTCTGACTTAAAGAAAGTTTATAAAGACTCAGAATGAAAGAATCATGGAAACAGAACTGAATCATGGCAGAGTTTTCTGATCCCTAAATGAATATTTAACACATTTCACATGTAACAAAATAACAAAAGCAGATCATTTATAAATGTACAAACACCACAAAGTAGCACTACTAACTACTGTACATGAAGACTGTGAATGGTTCCCTCTTCCTCTTTTTGGCACAAGGAAACTTTCCTATTCTTTCTCTTTGTCTACTCTTCCCAAAATTGACAGAAACTATCAGACCTACCAATAGTTTTATCTCTATTCACCTTCCAAACCAATGGACCTTCATGAATCATTTTCCTTTTTGTTAAATCCAAATTCTGCCAAAATAAAGAGAATTATACACAAATTATTTCCAAGCACTCACTGAGATAATATTCTATACAATTTAGTCTCTTTTCCAAGAAATTCTTAATATAAAAGATACCATTTATACTCAACTATCACTATTGCTATCTGTCAGCTTTTGAAAGTTGAATAAAGACTGTGTAAAAGTAATCTGCATAAAATTTTCCAAAAAGGACAAGGTATCTTGCAGAAAAACATTCAAGAGCACTATCTTTCAAACCTCACTCCAATAATAATAGCTCATGAAAATCAAGGTACAAACATTCGGCCACTAGATTCTCAACATATCCCTTGATTTTTCTGTGAATAACTGGATGAGGATGATATACATACTTGTCTACAAAAGGCCCCCGAGTTCTAAGGGTCTAATTCCAAACAAAGTTCTAAAGAACAGCACTCAATGTGAAAAATCCATGCTTACTCAAAATATTACTAACTTATCAAAAAGATAATCAGCTTTTAGTCTTAGAAGCCTTAGAAACATCTCTTTCTTTAGAAGTTAAGGGAAATAAGCATTAGATGCTAATTACATACAATGCAAAAGTCTATTTTAAACAGCCACCAATTAAACCTGTCAAAACAACCATCAAGAGAAATGGTACCAAAAAAAGACTTAAAATCCTAAAAAGTTAACACAAAAGCCCAGGTACCACAATAGGAAATTAGTACATATTTTACTATCATTCCTGTAATGGTTTCAACTTTTATGCTTCATGAAAAAATAATTAGTATCTTGCTTTACCTTCTGATTTGGAAAGTTCTCATAGTAAACAGTCCTACTTTTATTCCAACTGTAGAACACAATAAAATTACATTTAATAATGTAATAACTAGTGTTTCTTAGTCTCCTGCCAAATCCTGTCAAGTAAAGTTACAGTTTCACATAAAGTATTATTCTACTAAAAGACTAAAATCATCTTCAAAGAGATCATTTAAAAGGCAGAATAAAATCATAAATATAGATCATCTATTATACAAGAACTCCTTCAGGTGATATATATTCCTCTGAGATATTAATTACCTGCAAGTCTTTATTTAGTAAATTTTATTTAAAAAATTATCATTAGACTATCTCTCACCCTGAGCTCTTCAACATTTGGGTACTCTGACAGCTTCAGATTGGAGGTGTCAAGGCGGCGCTGATAGTCTTCTAAGCGCTGAAAATTAGACAGAGGATAGAGTCCAGGTTACTGCTTTGGCCATCAATGACCTCTCTGTTCCTAAATCAAATGGATGTTTTGAATCTACCTTTTACTAAGCTATTTGCACCACTAGACATGACTGAGTTCTCACTCTTTCTTGAACTATCTCTTCTGTTGGCTTTAATGATAGTACACTCTCCTAGTTTTCTTAAAACTTCATTGGGCTTTCTTTCTCAATCTTCTTTCCAAACTCATTGGCCTCTAACTAACTTACATTTATTTCCTGAATATGTAAATCATGCACACAATACCAAATTCAGAAGGTAATATAAGGCACACAACAAAGTCTCCCTCTAATCCTGTCCACCCGTCAACCCTCCACCAATTTTCTCTAAAATGCAAACACTGATATTCATTTCATGGATATCCTTTGGGAAAAATTCTATATAAATAGAATATGTGTGTGTATAAATAGAATACACGTGCGTATAAGTATGTTTATCTCTGTGTATGCTGTCTGTATATACACAAGGTGTCACAATAAGTTTGTGAACTTATACTAGAAAAAGTCCTATATAACTCATTGCTCAATATACTATGGACACCTTTGAAGTTCTCCCTTTAAGAAGCTATGCACCACCAAATCAAAATAAAGAAATAAAAAAGAAGCTATGCACCAATGCCAGTGCCTAAGTCACCCTTCAAGGCAATTTTGGAACTCTATTTCTGGAATGACTATCAGAGCTGTCATTATATAAGATGTGACAATTAAGTTTGCAAAAAAGTGAAGGATAGACTAAGTGCCGGCCGGCACTGGTGCATAGCTTCCCAAGGGGAGTACTCAGAAGTGACTGTAGTGATACTCAGCAATGACGTAGTACTTTTTCTAAGATGAGTTTGTGAACTTTACCGTCAAATGGCCTATATACTATTTTAACACAAGATACAGTAGTTTTAATATATTTATGTATGTCTTTTTGTGTGTATGTGGTGTGTATATTACCTTAAAGATAGTTCCACATTAACACATAGTGAGCTATCTCATTTTTTTTAATGGCTGCATAGCATTCAGTTCTGTAAATGAACTATAGTTTATTTATACCTTACTGATAGACACTTACGTTACTTCCAATCTTGTCCTCCAACAGACAATATTGTAATAAAATGGCCTTAAATATATTCCTTTGTACACCTGTGTAGATATAGCTGTTTCTAGAATCACTGGATCAAAGGGTATATGCTATGTGCATTTTTCCCCAACATCATAAACACTTCCAAATACACAGAAAAGTCTGAATGCATATACTGAACAACTATATACCCACCACCTATATTCCACAATTAGCATTTGTTATCTTTGTTTCATTTTGTATCTATGCATCTATTCATCCCTTCATCCATGAGTCCATCTTATTTTTTAGATGCATTTCAAAATAAATTGTAAATAGAAGTATACTTTATCCATGAATACTTTAGCATGAATGACAAAGGAATAGTTTTTTTAAGTGAAATTTACATACATTTTAAGTGTACCCTTCCATGAATTTTGACCAATGCATACACACCCATGCAACCTGAACTCCTTATCAAGATATGAGATAATGCCATTGCCCCAGAAAGTTTCCTAATACTTCTTCCCAGTTGGTCTCTACCCCCACATACTCAGTAGCAACCCTTTCCTGGCTTTTTTCCTACCATAAAGCCATTTTACCTGTCTTAGAAGTCTGTACAAATACAATTACACATCTGTACGTTTTGTGTCTGGTTTCTTCTGCTAAGCACATCTATGAGGTTTGCCTGTGCTGCTCACCTCAGCAGTTCATTCCTCTTTATCACTGGTTGGACTCTATTTTGTGACTACCACACTTAGTTTAATTCTCCTGTTGACAAATTCTAAAGCTGCTTCTAGTTTTTGGCTACTATGGATAAAGTTACTATAAACATTCTTTTATAAGTCTGCGGGCATATATCTTCATTTCTCTTGGGTAAACCACTTGAAACAGAATACTTGAGACAAACAATAGATGTATGGGCATTTACATTTTTATTTTTTGCAGTTTTTGGCCGAGGCCAGGTTTGAATCTGCCACCTCCAATATATGGGGCCAGCACCCTACTCCTTGAGCCACAAGTGCCGCCCGCTATTTACATTTTTAATTTAGATAAACAGTTCCAAATTTCCTCCCGGGGCTTTATTTATCATTTTACACTCCAAATACTATGTTTGAAAGCACCTATTTTCAGGGCCACCCAGCGGCTCACACCTGTAATCCCAGCACTTGGGAGGCCAAGGCAGGTGGACTGCCTGAGCTCAGAAGTTCAAGACCAGCCTGAGCAAGAACAAGACCTGTCTCTAAAAAATACCCAGGCGTTGTGGCAGGCACCTGTAGTCCCACCTACTTGAGAGGCTGAGGCAAGAGGATCACTTGAACCCAAGAGTTTGAGATTGCTATAGAGGGTGATCAAGTGAGATTCTGTCTCAAAAAAAAAAAAGTACCTATTTTCCTACAGTCTTACCAACAAAGTTACCATCAGACTCAGCTCCTTAGAAATTACATCCATGCCCATGGACTCAATTAGCCTCCACATAATTACAATCTTAAATTTTTATCTTCAGCAAATTCCTCTTAAAGAAGGGCCCATATAGCCAACTACATACTGCACATCTCTACCTGATATCCCAAACTGAACTCACCATCTTCCCCATAAATCTGGGGCTTCTCTACTCATGTCCAAAGCAAAACAGAAACCTAGAGATGTATTATTGACATTACCTCTCCTTCAAATCCCTCTGCATTTCAGTCACTAAGTCCTATCGATTTTACCTTCTAAACACTTCTCTGATTTCTCTAAGCTACCACCACCTATCCTGGACTGCTACCATAGACTACTAACTGGGTTCTTTCACCCTCTATCTTCCTCTCTTCCTCCTTCAACTCACTCTCCATAGAGTAGCATGAATGATTCTTTATACAGTGAAAATCTGAAAACTATATTCCTACACATCTACAATGAATTCCTAACTGCTTATCTCTAACGTGATCCAAAGGGCCCTGTAGGATTTGGTCCTGGCCTGTTTTACCTCATTTTATTCCACTCTCACTTTGCTTTTTAGTCAAAATACACAATAATCTAATTTTTCAGTCCTCAGACTGTGCTTCCTTTTATGTTGAGACTTTTGTACATACTGTCTCCACATCTAGAGCTGCATCCTTGCACAATGATTTCGTTCATTTCCACTCATCCTTCAGAGATTAGCCCAAATATCAGTTCCACATGGAAGCTTTGTCTGACAGCCACCATCTAACACCCCCAAACTAGGGCAGGCCCCATAGTTAATACACTCACAGTATCCTGAAATTCTCTTTCACAGCAACTATCACAACTGATACAAAATACAGCACTTGCACTACAATCCTTTCAAATGCCTTCCTGTCCTACTAGAAAACAACCTCAATGTAGGCGGATACTGTGCTTATTTTCTCAAGCACTCTGTACTCTTTGCACAGCATATAGCAGATGCTCCAGAAATATTTGCTGAATGAATAGATGATTGAATGAGCAAACAAGCAGCTTGAGATGCTCGAAATTTTAGAAAGTCAAATACAAATCTAATATTCTACGCAAGTTGATCTGGACCCACCTACTAAATGAATGGTTAACAAATGTCCTAGCTATCAATCACAGTGTGAATTACTATTTTATAGATTCCCGGTAATACTACTTTCATATTCTCTATCTGTCATCCTGTATCTTATTTTTCCTTTTTACCTGTTTGTTTTCTGCCTCCTTAACAGCCTGATTCACATAATTTAAGATTTGTCGACAATGATCTGCAGCTTTCTTCACCTTCTCCCTTTCCATTGGCCATTCTAAATATGGGCAAAATGGAGGAAATTAGAAAAAAAAATATATATATAAGCATATAAATGATATTTCATTTTATTTCACCAGTTATAAGAACATACTAAGACCCTGTATACCAAGCTATAAACTATGGCAGAGTCTCAATTCAGGTAGTGTTTGGAGAAGAGAGACTTTTTATGGCAGTACTTAAAACATAAATTCTAATGTTTAAAAAGATTACCAAGGTATAGTACCCTAAATCCAGAAAGTTTTGTTTTACATAAAATATCAGGACTATTAAGTTACACATTCCAGCAAGCTGGTTTCATTCACTCTGTAAGCTACATAAATGGGAATCCCTTCCCCCCGTTATATCATAGTGCACAGACTACATAAATATGTCCAGTGAACCTACTAAAGCAATATTTTTTTGAATAAAAAAATTCATGATAATTCCGAAACAAGTATCTTGAATTTGTGATTATACTGTATTTTAAAAAAGAAAACAAATTATACCAGTTCTATCATGAAAAAAAGGAAAATGTATGGAGGTGATATTCTGACTATAATATAAAGAATATCAAAATATTTAAAATTAAAATCCTCTGAACAATTTAACTATACTGAATAGATACATTAACAATACAAAAATTAGTGTGTTATGACTGTGAACCACATTTATTACCAGCTACCATAATTTTAAATTTCCCAATTATGCAAATTCTCAGACACAAGAAATATAAGTTTAATTGCATAAAATGATTAATGAAAACTAAGTACAGGGTTGGTTGTTTATTTTAAATTCCACACGAACTTTATGGACACCATGTATAAGAGCCTAAAACTCAACTGAGAAATTCAGATTCACTTCACATATCAAAACAGGAGAGCTAAAATGCATTAACTTTGTTTAATAAAAGGATATTTATAGCATTTCAACTCAGTATAAATTTTCTTCAAAGCAAGTATGATACAGCATGCTAGAGCAAGGATGGGCAAACTTTTTCTGCAAAGGACCAAATAATAAATACATCACATTTTGCAGGTCAAATGAATTCTGTCACATTACTCAGCTCTGCTGTTGTGGCGCAAAAGTGTCCAGAGACAGTATGTAAACAGATGAGCACAGCTGTGTTCCAAATAAAACTTTATTTACAAAAACAGGCAGTGAGCCTGATCTGACTCACACTCCATACACAATCTGCCAAACCCTCTGACAGAGCTACTAATGAAGCACAATAAATTAGATAGCACGAGGAAGGTTAGATTGTATCTTAGCAGAAAATCTTTTCATGCTATATGAAATCCAACTCAAGACACCAGAATGCTGTGAGATATTATTTAGCATGGCATGTTTCTTGTTGTTCCTGATCTTTTTGGTTTCAATGAGAAAATGCTGTACCTGTGTATTTGGCAATATTATCCAGTAGCAGTGGGTACTTAGTAAGCCTTTGCATTTGGGTAGGAATGATATCTTTTAGTTGAAGACGACGACACAGTGGGTTACTTTCAGCATCCTAAAATTAAAGTAAAGTAAGTATATACGTAATTCTTATCAGAACTACAATTCGCTAACATATACCAAGTATTCACTATATAAGTGTCTACTGCATCTCTTCTGATTATTAAATCCATCTTTAAAAAATGCCAAGACATATTATTACCACCATACTATACTTTTACTTTCCCCTTTAATTACCTAATGAGGGAAGGAAGTCTGTCTGACTAAACGAATGGCATACTTGTTACCTGTTCAAGAAATCCATACTCTACTCTTAGTCTTATTTTCTTGTATTAAACCAGCTTTATCTTCACCTATTCAGAAAACCTAGGTACATTTTCCTTTGACTGGCATTCCCATCGAAGTTAGTTAGCTAAATGTGTTATCTGCCATTCCAAGTTGGCACAGTGATCACCAGTCTGGTGAAATGCTACCTCGTATACTAGGTGTCTGCAAACGTTTAATAAAGTGCCAGTTAGCAAACATTTTAGGATTTGCAGTCCACATAGTCTCTCTTACAACTATTCAACTTTACTGATTTAGCACAAAAGCAGCCACAGACAATATATAAATGAATGAACATGGCTCTGGGTAGTAAAGAACTCAAAGATGGCCTACAAGTTTCCCATCCTCTGGTATACACACCCTGTATAATTCCATGCCTTTGAGTCTAGATACAACATGTGAATGAGTATGATAGGATATTGTTCCTATAATTAGGTTACTATCAGATGACTTCAAGTTAATGAAAAAGGTAATTGTCCTGGGTAGGCCTGACTTAATCAGAGGAGCCTTTAAAAGAACTCTGTGTCGAAGAATGGCATTCTCATTGGCTGAAAAGAAAGCCAACATCCACCTTTGAACTGCCCAATGGGGCCATATAGCAGAGAGACATAGGCTATTTCCAGGAGTTGAGACTTCTTCCTAGCCAATAACTAGCAAGTAGATAGGAATATCAGTTATACATTTATAAGACAAGGAACTCTGCCAACAACCAGTGAGCTCAGAAGAGAGCCCTGAGCATCAGAGAACTACAGCTCCCACTGATACAACCTGGTCAAATCTTGAATAGAGGACCCAGCCAAATCATAGTCATACACATAAACCACAAAAAATGTGAGATAAGTTTTCATTGAGTGGCCACAATTGTGGTAATCTGTTATACAAAAATAAGAAATGAATACACTCTATTCCAATAAAACCTTGTTTATAAAAACAAGGAAAAGTCTGGATATGGTCTGTGGGCTGTTGTTTACTGACCGTTGACCTACACACCACTGAGTACTCTTCGGTGAGTGTAACTGCTATTAAATTCTTCCCTGAGCAGGATACAAGCCTATTCTCATGCTTTCACAATATTCTTTTCACAGAGCGTATGGGTTGTTTCCTCATAAAATACCATGGCAATGTGTGGATTTCTATGTCAACTATTTTAAACTTGACATACATTTTTTAATATTTACCATCCCAAAATCATCTTCATACTTCCCAGTAATTTAAGAGAGAATGTATGGCTTTAAAAAATGTTAACACAGATGTAATCCTTGTAAAAGTCTTAGCATTTGCCCTGTTCATCCTATGATTAATTAAAAATTTGCTTTATTTTTTTTTTCTTACATGACTCACTCAACTCACTTGCACAAAAGTGTGAAATCGAGAATCCTTTTTCTGACGAGACTTGATCATTTCCAGGGCAAAAGGTTGGTTACTGCAAAAGGTAGCAGCAGCATGTTTCAACTTCTCCTCTCCTGGTCCGCTGAACTGTGCCAAGAGGGCAAGGAAGACAATGGAGGATGAGAACCTGAGCTTATATACAGCGAGGCACAACGAGAGACACCAGGAATCCTGTAAGTATTCTCAACCGACCAAAAACACAGAACTGCATATCTATGTAGATTACCAATGGCTCTCCATGAAAAAGCTTTGACCCTGACACATCCAGGCCTTTTCTGAACATACTCAATGGTTTCTTGCTTTAGCCTACCACAACCTATTACCTTTCAGCCTATACCACTTCTAAATTACATTAAAAAGGCTGACATTTGGAGAATATGAAAATGCCAAGAGACTAAGATTACATTTTTATTTCCTTAGCTCCCGACACCTTTATAAAAATTACCCCTAACTGTTCTATAAAGCAAATCCTTGGGATACCAGCTTTCTTTCCTACAACTCACTATAAAACCCATTGCAACTATGATCAGGTCATAACTTTCCCAGGTTGAAATAAAATTAAATTACTGCTGCTTCTCCTGTGCAGAGGCTGGAGCTGGCCTGGAGGAGATCCATGACCTTAAGAATTTTTTTGCTACAAATTACACTTCTTACTAGTATTTCATTTATAAATTTAAGTTTGCATATGCCATAATTTTAAAGTTTCTGATAGAACACCTAACAAGCACTTAACTCACAGATGCTCTTATAAGTCAAACAGATCGTTTTTGAATACCACCTTCATATTTGTAAATAATTGCTTTATGGTTTACAAAGAGGATTTCCAAAGCCATATTTCCAAAAGTTTTATATAAAGGCATTTTGTAAAAAGCTGTTTTGTAGTGCATTTGTAGGTAAACTTAGAGTATACATAGTGGCATTTTAATCAATCACTCCAACTTTGTATTCTTATTCTATTATGAATATGACACTCAACAGGTATAAAGATGAGAGTGGCAGCATTTTTGTCATGTTAGTCAATCAATGTGTCACACAAAGAGTAGCTGGGTTTTTGAAAGAAAATAACTCCCTCAACTTCAAGTAGTCCTACAGTACTGTCACAAGTAATTTCAGATGCTCCTCAATTATGATAGAGTTGCAATCTCATAAACCCATCATAAACTGAAAATAGCTTAAGTTAAAAATGCATTTAATACACCTAACCTACTGAACATCATAGCTTAACCTACTTTACCTTTAATGTGTGCTCAGAACAGTTACATGAGCCAACAGTTGGACATAATCATCTGGTTACACAGTACATTATACAGTACCATTTGTTCATCCTCGTGGTCCTGTGGCTGAGTGGGAGCTCAGGCTCCCTGCCACTGCCCACATCACAAGAGATCAAAATTTTTTAAAGAAAAAGAAATAGTGACTAATTCTCACATAAATTGGATTTAATTTTGACTAAAGTACAGTATTTGAATAGTAATTTTTAATTCAACTTGTTAATGTGTTGTTTAAGATACTGCATCCTCATTTATAAGTGAAATATGTTTGTAATTTCCCTTTATAATAATACATTTTTTCCAATTTTAATATCAGGTATATCCAGATGAAGTAGAATGAATTTGAAATATTTCTTCTTTTTCTATTGTCTTTAAGATTTGCCATGATCTGTTTTTTATAAATTATCCTTTATTTGTATTTATAAATATGAGTTGTCTATTTTTTGAGACTTTGGAAAAAAAAAGATCAAAATTCAAAATCTAAAGTACAGTTTCTACCAAATGTGTACTATGTCTGCACCATCGAAAAGTCAAAAAATCCTAAGTTGAACCACTGTAAATCTATGATTATCTGCATAATCATAAGGTGATCTTGAGACACTAATAGTGGAAAAATACTCTCCCAAACTATTTTTTAAGAATAACAATAAAAAATCTGAAGGCCTATTTATGATTCCTGCTTTCAGGATTTCTAGCCAACACTTTTCTCTAAATTAACCCTTTGTACGTAACAGTTGCAAAACAGATCAGATAGGCCATTCTATTTTCCCTCCACTTTTACAGGTTTAGGCATAATTCATTTTATCATATATTAGAGATAACATTTTTTTCCCACAAATTGAAGGTCTGAGGCAACCCTATGTCAGACAAGTCTATTGGTGCCATTTTTCCAATAGCATGTGTTCATTTTGTGTCTTTGTGTCACATTTTGATAATTCTTACAATATTTCAAATTTTTTCATTATCCATTATTGTTATGGGGATCTCTGATTAGTTAATTCTGATGTTACTATTTCTTGTTTTAGGGCACCACAAACCATGCCCACATAAGACCATGAACTTAACTGGCAAACTTCATGTGTGTTCTGACTGCTCCACTTGCTGGCCATTCCCCCTCCTTCAGCTTCCCTATCTCTGAGACACAATATTGGAATTAGGCCAGTTAATAACCCTACAATGGCCACTAAGCATTCAGGTGAAAGGAAGAGCCACACAACTTACTTACTTTAAACCAAAAGTCAGAAATGATTAAGCTTAGTGAGGAAGGCATGCTGAAAGCCAGGACAGGCTAAAAGCTAAGCCCCTTGTACCAGGTAGTCAAGTTTTAAATGCAAAGGAAAAGTTCTTAAAGGAAATGAAAAGTGTTAGTTACCCCAGTGGATAAGAAAGCAAACTAGCCCTACTATTTCTATGGGGAAAGTTTGAGTGGTCTGGATAGAAAATCAAACCAGCCACAACATTCCGTTAAGCCGAAGTCTAATGCAGAGCAAGGCCCTATTCTCTTCAATTCCATGAAGGCCGAGAGAGGTGAGAAAGCTGCAAAAGAAATGTTTGAAGCTAGCAGAGGTAGGTTTAGGGTGTTTAAAGAAAGAAGCTGTGTCCATAACATAAAAATGTCAGGTCAAGCAGCAAGTGCTGACACAGAAGCTATAACAAGTTATCAAAAAATCTAGCTAAGATGACTGATGAAGGTGGCTCCATTAAACCACAGATTTTCAATGTACACATAACAGACTTACATCAAAAGAAGATGCCATCTAGGAATTGCATAGTTAGAGAGAAGTCAATACTGGGCTTCAAAGCTTCAAAGGACAGGCCAGCTAGGGGCTAGTACAGCTGGTGACTTTAAGTTAAAGCCAATGCTCACTCACCATTCTGAAAATCTCAGGACTCTTAAGAGTTATGCTAAATGTACTCTACCTGTGCTGTATGAATGGAACAAAGCCTAGACAACAGCTGTTCATATGATTTATTGAATATTTAAATCACATCTAAAGATGTCACATTTTAGAAAAATGTAGAAAAAGTAAAAGAACTACAATTAGAATGGAGCATAAAGATGTAACATGTCACATCTACAGATGTCACATTTAAATGACATCTATTTATAGCATGATTTACTGAATATTTAAAGTCTACTGTTGAGAACAACTGCTCAGAAAAACAGATTCTTTTCAAAATGTTACTGCTCACTGACAATGCACCTAGTCAGCCAAGAGCTCAGATGGATATGTACAAGGATGACTGGTAATACAACATCAACCCTGTAACCACAGATCAAGGGTAATTACAACTTCCAAGTCACAGTATTTTAGAAATATATTTTAAGACTAATTGTCATCAATGGTGATTCTTCTGATGAATTTGGCTAAGTAAATTTAAAAGCTTCTAGAAAGGATTCACAATTCTAGATCAGGGGTCCTTAAACTTTTTAAACAGGGGGCCAGTTCACTGTCCCTTAGACTGTTGGAGGGCCAGACTGCGGGCCCCGGGACGAATTGGCTGCTAAGCAGGGCAGGAAGTGGTGGCAAAAACACCCGGCAGGCAGACAAATGTCCTAGGTGGGCCACATGCGGCCCGCAGGTCATAGTTTGAGGATGCCTGTTCTAGATGCTATTAAAGATATTAGTAATTCATGGTAGGAGGGCAAAATATCAACATTAACAGAAATTTGGAAGATATTGATTCCAGTCCTCACAGATGACTCTGAGGGGTTTAAGACTTCAGTGGAGTAACTAAGTGCAGATGTGGTAGAAAAAGTAAAAGAACTACAATTAGAATGGAGCATGAAGATGTAACCAAACCACTGCAATCTGATGACATAACTTTAACAAATGAGGAGTAGCTTCTTTATGGATAAGCAAAGAAAGTGGTTTCTTGAAATGGCTCTGTTCCTGGTAAAGATGCTGTGAATGTTGTTGATATAACAACAAAGGAGCCTTTCTTTTAGAATATTACATAAACTTAGATGAGAAAGTAGCAGCCATGTTTGAGAGGACTAACTCCAATTCTGAAGTAAATATTACTATGGGTAAAATGCTATCAAATAACATCTCATGCTACAGAGAAATCTTCTGGGAAAGGAAGTCTCAATCAACAGGGTAAAGTTCATTGCTAAAAAACAAGAAATTGCCACAGCCGCCCCAATGTTCAGCAACTACCAGCCTAATCATTCGGCAGCTCTCAACACCAACCCAAGATCTTCCACCAGCAAAAAAGATTATGATTCAATGAAGGCTCAGATAATCATTAGCATTTTTAGGAATAAAGCATTTTTTTTAAATGGGGCCGACGCCCTACTCCTCTGAGCCACAGGCGCCACCCAGTAAAGCATTTTTTAATTAAGGTATATACATTGTTTTTTAGACAAGGCTACTGCACACTTAATAAACTACAATATAGTATAAACATGACTGTAGCAAAATATTTGTGTAAATTGCTTTACTGAAGTAGAATGGAACTGAACCCACACTATCTCCTAGTTATGCTTGTACATCACATTGGTCAAGAATACAATTCTTTTCATGTATTCTAAAATAAATTTATTTTTCTCCACTGTGTTCACAGGATTATCCACTTTATTTTACCGTGTATAGATTAGTGCAATCCAATGGACTGTGATAAGAGGACCAATTGCACTACTACATCTTATGAATGGTGACTCTCACTTGACACTCGATCTTTTTTTTTTTGAGTCAGAGTCTCACCTTGTCGCCCTCGATAGAGTGCTGTAGCGTCACAGCTCACAGCAACCTCCAACTCTTGGGCTTAGGTGATTCTCTTGCCTCAGCTTCCTACGTAGCTGGGACTACAGGCACCCACCACAACACCTGGCTATTTTTTTATTGCAGTTTGGCTGGGGCTGGGTTTGTTAACTATTATTTATAGAGGATGCAAATGAAACTGCAAAGGAATCAAGGTATATTAGGTCTATATGACTTACAACCTTTAATTCAAGTTTGATGTGAAAATTGATGCTATACTATGTCATTTTATAAAATGAAACCATGGTCTCAAAAAATTCTCAATTTTCTGTTTCAAGTTGAGCATCAAGACAATACCACTCCATTACAACTTTCACTGCTATGCTAGTGAAATAAAGAACAAGGTGAGCCACATTACCACAGAATAGCCATAGGGTGAGTTGAGCTTCAAAGAAGTTAAATCTCCTTAAGGCCAAATGAGCCTAGGACAGAAAATGCTTTGGAAAGTGCAAAAAATACAATGAATTATGATTTCCTGCTCCCGTTCTGTGAGTCAAATGGCTAGGAAGCAATCTATTGTTGGATGAGTAGATTCTAGGCCTTTTAGGCCTTCATCTCACACCATTAATGAAAGAAGGAAAATGAAGACAGTTTTAGTCAACTTTCTAGTCATTGATCTTTTAAAAAAAGTTTTAATTGCAGAATCAGCAAAATCTTGCAGCATTACCTACTTTTTTTTTTTTTTTTAACCAAGTAGTATACCATGTATATTTACCAAGTAGTAAATATACTGAAGTGCATTTCTGTGGGCATATCTAAATGATTTCTGTTTAACCTGTGTGACCCATGCCACTGACTTTACTTTCTTAAAAAGTTTAAATCAAGGTTGGGCATGGTGGCTCACACCTATAATCAATCCTAGCATTCTGGGAGGCTGAGGTGAGTGGATTGCCTGAGCTGACGAGTTCAAGAACAGCCTGAGCCAGAATGAGATTCCATCTCTAAAAATAGCTGGGCGTTGTGGCGGGAACTACTTGTCCCAGCTACTTGGAAGGCTGAGACAAGAGAATTGCTTAAGCCCAAGAGTTTGAGGTTGCCGTGAGCTGTGATGCCATGGCACTCTACCATGGGAGACAAAGTGAGACTGTCTCAAAAACAAAAAAGTTTAAATCAGCCGGGTGCAGTGGCTCATGCCTGTAATCCTAGCACTTGAGAGGCCGTGATGGGTGGACTGCCTGAGCTCATGAGTTTGAAACCAACTTGAACGAGAGCAAGACCCCTATCTCTAAAAAATAGCCAGGTGCTGTGGTGGGCCCCTGTAGCCTCAGTCATGTGGGAGGCTGAGGTGATAGAACCCCTTGAACCTAACAGTTTACAGTTGCTGGGAGCTAAGATGCCCCAGCACTCTACCAAGGATAACCATGTGAGACTCTCTATCCAAAAAAAAAAAAAAGTTTAAATCACCTGCCTTCCTCTAGGAAGGTTTTCTATATGTGTTCTAGTTTAGATCTCGCTGCTAAACTACATTGCCACGATAATCTAAATTCTCCCCTTTCTGTTAAACTCATTATGCTTAAAATAACCAATGGACTATCTTCCCATTGATTATAAACCACATGGGCAGGAGCCAAGTCTGTATTGATCACCATTATATGCCCAGTACCCAGCACACACTATCAAATATATACTAACAAAGAATCAGACAAAAAGGCAAAATTTGACAAACAACTGCTATAGCCTCTGGACTCTTTCCTTATATTGTAAATAAAATTAAATAAGTTCACTTTTCTACTATTGTGATGGTAGTTCTAGTTCTATAATTTTCTAATATTGTACAGTATAATTCTGAGACTTAGATAAAAAGATGGCTTAAATTCTGTATTAGGTAAATTATTTTTATTAAAGTCATATGTTCTTTTACAAATAGAAGACTGTATCTTTAATTTAATGAAAAACAAAACTTAATCTGACTGAGCACTTATTAGAACACATTAACCAAGAGAATACATACTCTGGACCCTTTGCGGCTTTATATCAACTTTGCAAACGAATATATCTGTGTATTTGAAAAGGTTACTTAACTTTGAATATGATCACTGTCTATAAAAACATTTAAAATAAATAAATAAATTTCCTAAACATTTAAAAGAAAGAGAATACTTCCTTACCCAGGTCAGCAAATCTTCCCCAATCTGATCAATAACAGAGGTCTCATTTCGCTTTCGAACAGCCTTCATTTGCTCATTTAACCCAACTAAAGAAAAAAAAGTAGAAAAAATTAAAAACAATAATTTTAGACTGAATTACTGGCAAAGGACTAAGTAGCTTAATGGATTTTATAAAAGACTTTCAAAGTAGTATAGCTGTTTCTATTCCCCTTAATATAAACTTGGATAGAAGTTCTATCTAAACAATAGTTGCTAAAATATAAAATAACATTTTAGAAACTAGCACATTCCCTACACAGTAGTTGCATCAAATATGCAGCTTAGCCTAAAGACTCCATCTATAACTATACACAAAAAGAACTTAAATTTAAATAATGCAGGTAATTCTGCTAACACTTTCTCTCAAAATGTGCATGTTCACAGGCAAAAGATACCAAGCTTAAATTTGTCAGGGCATGCTAGTGAAACCAAGAGTGCCCAAAAAGGAGTAAAAGACATCAATGTGATTGGCGGGTGTTTGTACGTGGAGATGACATCCTTGACAAAGAAATAATGAGAATTAAGGGTCACAGAGTAACAGCAGACTACAAAAGAGAGGAACATCCTACTACTGTCCATAAAAATCTAAGTTGACTACAAGAGAAACACAACTAGGTAAAATTTTTATATACGTACTCAAGTATATCAAGCAATAAACAATAAAACAATTCCTGAAAATTATCCCATTATGGGATTATATGCTACATATTACTATTTCCATTTATACATATATTACATACAATATATATTTAGACATACATTTATACATAATTATATGGAATATTACTTTTTAAAACATATATACAGTAATTGATAGGAAATTTTCAAGGGCAATTTTGACTAATCAGGTTTTTCACCTTAGGCACTGACTTTAGATCTGAACTCCTATGTTGACACTTTGAATATGAAAGCCTAATTATGGGGGAAGAGGATCCAGTCAAGGTGTCAATAATTTATTTATGTTCTACTCTCACTCATAATTTCAGAAAAAAATTCACAATCTCTTCTCTATCATAAATGTTAGTGATAAAGATCAGAGCCAATTTCTCTTACTATGAAGTTGAAGAATATCTTCCAAGTTTGAAAAAATCTTCCGTAGTTCTGAAGGTGACAGAATTCCTTCTCTAGACACTCGCTGATAGAACACTTGATCAAGAACCTTAAGTGTTCGAACATGAGCTCTTTCAGTGTAGAACAATTCTAAGCAGAAAAGAAAGAAGATATGAATTTTGCCTTACTTAGAATAATTCCATGGGACCAAACATAGCCATTATTTCTGGAATTAGACAGCAAATGAACTGTATAATAAATTATCATTCAGATGGGATGAAGTATCTCTGAAGTCACTTTGATTCCATGAGATTCTCCTACATACTGGCCCTGACAGTGGAACACTTACAAATGACAAATATTCAAAATTATTTTGTACTTAAAAGAATACCCTCAAACTCACCTAGCTGTTGTTAACAATAACATACACCTATCACATCTATTAATACATTATTAGAAAACTGTAAGCTGCAACATCATATCCTTAACTTGAGCCTCCTCACAAATAATAGTACTTTGTTATTTAACTTGTCCATAAACCCTCATTTCTGGAGCCAAACTTATAATTTCACTTGTCTCAATGTTGTCAGAAACAAGATATTTATTCAAATCACATCCTAAGGACAGCAGAAGATACAACATTCATGACACCTGTCACATACTTGCCAGGGTAATAAAGAACACTGCATTAGGACACAGGAAGACCTGGATCTTATTTTTCCCTTTATCACCTATCAGCTTTGTGATCTTGACAGAGTCAGTCTCTGTAGGCCTTAGTTTCCTCATCTATGCAAAAACCTAACTAACCTAAAAGTAAAGTGATGGCAAAAACGTTGTGTCAATGATTTTCAACTTTAAGATCTATAATGCTATGAATCTTAGTTTGAAGGTTATTTCCTTCTAAATTATCAATAAAAATCATATAATCATTAATTTTTTTTAAGTTTGTGCTCGCTTTGGTAGCACATATACTAAAATTGGAACAATACAGAGAGGATGTGCATGGCCCCTGTACAAAGATGACACGTAAATTTTTTTAAGTTAAAGAGTTCAAGGATCTAATTTAACTTTCTCTTTTTTAAAACAAAAGGCCAGGAAAAGCTATGATGCAAACTCCAAGACTACAGAGTTTGCTTCATTCTGATAAAACTCACTACATGTCAATAACAACAAGAACAAACTGATTAAACTCACCATTAATCACTTCCTGTCTCTTGATCTCACTAGGTTTTAGTCCCAGTAACACTTCCCGACTAACAAGCTGCTGCCAGTTAGGTGGATCTGTCTCTAAGTCATTTTCAAATTGTTCATCCTCACTTTGACTTTCTCCAAAAGCTACGGGGTCAAACCTATGAAGGAAAAAAATGATCAATTCTACTTGAAGACTTCAACATAAGAACTTATGAGAAACAACATAAGTCTTCAATTTATAGTAAATAAGATTCAAGATTTCTGAATCTGACTTAGCACAGAGCCTGAAACATCATCTTTCCTATGTGCACATATGACTTATATGTATTAGACAAACCTCAACATATATAATTTATGTTTATTAAAAGTTTTCTTTCTTCTTATGGAAAAGATTTGGATACAGGGTTCTTTTCTTTTAAAACTGAGACTTTAAAGGAAAAAACTGTATTTCTTAAACTGTACCTTTATTTAAAGCTACTTAAGATATTTACTTACTTCCGGAAGGGCTTTGGTGTCCCATGTTCAGTCACCCTAAAGCAACAGAAAGAGTGAATGTGAAAACAAAATGGTAATTAAGAAATTTATACCAAAGATACTCAAAACTGGGTTAAACTCCATTAGTTTTATAAACATTTCTTTGAGATACTGTAATGATTTAACAAAAATTTTAAAATTGAAGAAAATTTCTTTGCCTTTCTAACGTTCAGTACAAACAAGTTTTAGTTCTTTCTCAAAACATTACACGGGGGAAAAATGCTATCATACATAGGAATAGCATATAATTCAAAAAAATCTTAAGCAATGCCCTAAACCTTTATAAAACATCACTGAATTACCTTTCTACTTCGTATTCTTCCTCCTGTACTTGGTCCAATGAAGGAGGTGGGAATTCAAAGACAGTATTGGGAGTACGAGGTGTGCCATCTAAGGAGTCTCCAGATGCTGGTGTTTCTCCAACTTGCTTGGATCCTGAGAAGACAAAATTCACACGTTGGCAGAGTGCTAATACTTAAAGGCACTGATTACCAAAAACAT